ACGACGAAGGGGAAGGGGAAAAGGAAGGCAGATCCAGATGACTACCGATTTATAAGTACTCCTCGGGACATAGCCTTTGAACATGGTTGGCGAGACTCGGAATCATGGCGCATACTCCCAGGGTTTGATACTGAGCAAAATTCGGTGGACTCTGACAGCCGTTACTGGTCCGTCGGTGGGTCCGGCTTCTGTGCGGTACTGACAACGGTGTGAGGAACTATGTACAATTCGGAGGAAAGTGGCATCGTGCTCGATGATCAAGCACACGCTGTGAACGGGGGAGCTCAGCTGTAGTGTGTGAGGCGTGTCGTATCACTTCGCTTTGAGATGGTGAAGTTGATCGCTTCTGAAACATCGAGAGAAGGAGTTAGGTCCAGCAATACAAGCCTTGTTAGCCCTGTGTACCCCAATTTTGATCAGCCATCTCCGCTGTGGACTCTTGTAGATATGTTGAGTTCAATGAATCCCGGAATGTCTTTGGGCCTAGAGGAGCCGCTGGTGATAAAAACAGCGAGTGTGATGGGGGTGATATCCACCAACTCATTCAAGTGAGAAAAACTGTGCACACTCAAAGCTACAGGCAGATAATTAGGACTGCAATAACAGTTCGAAGCTGGTGAGCTGAGGAAAAGAAAGTGGAAGATAGGAATTAAGATGATCATCAAACGTCATAGGTGAGGGCTGTGCGTCGTGGGAAAACCACTCGAACCTATGAGGGACCGGTTTGGACAAAAATAATGACGTTTGTCTTGATCATTCACGTTGACGTCGAATGCTTTCGGGTTCCGACGGTCGACGTTGAAGCTCTGCATTCCCACGAAAGTTTTCAGTATTCCCACGAAGTTCTTCGACCGCTGCCTTCGACCTTCAGCAACCTTCCCTTTACTTTCGACGCGGCATCCTTTCCCTTATGCATTAGTGGCTCAGTCAGGGTCTGCAAGTAAGTATCAGTACAATAGATGGATTTGAGTCATGGTCAGACGCAGGGGCTGCTGATGAGAATGGCAAAAACAATGACGATGGGATGCCACAGGCACACTCGGATAGCTGGGAAGAGAGCGTTCTGAACCTTCACAACGAGCAAGACGGTCAAATGTAGGATTTGAGAGGCCGTTGGGGAGAACACGCTGCGTATGAAGGACATACGACATACTCGAAGACAGCTCCCCTCGGAGACTCCACTTTCTCAACAACCCAATCCGCCATGGTAAATTGTTTTATCAATGCATCTGTGCGTCATACACGCCCACTCAAACCGAGATGGCCCACTTGTCAACACTCTCGCATCCCACTCACAACATGCAACCTCGGCATGCCAAACGTTGGTTGGGATTCGGGGTGTCTCGACTCTCGCAACATCTCTACCTCCTCCTCGAGTATCGACAGCGATGTGTTCAATGTTGGTCTTGACCAGCTATGTCGGACGTACAGCGATGTTTTTTGCGTGTGCTGCAATATCGACGATACGTACACCCTCTCACCTACCAGAAACCTTGTCTAAATCAGACTGATCCCAGATCTGGCTCAGATCCTACCGATCTACTCACAAATCCAAAACCTCAAGCTCAGGACTCACCCAATTACAACGCCTCGAAACCAACCAACTCTCATAGTTTCAGCTCTTGTGGGTCCATTCTCGCTATCCAAACTCGCATTTGGGACGAAAAATCAAAAGGTGAGCTTCATGGCGATCCACAAACGCTGATAATTCACTTACCGCTCCCCTCAGAACCCTCGCTGCCGACAAGAAATTCGATTACCGTGCTCTAAAAGTACAGGTAAGCTTCGTGTCCGCCCTTTGAGATCGAAAAAAAAACAAAAATAACACTGAGTATGCTTGTAGATCGCACGGAAGACGCCACAATCACTGGGGATTGACTTGTGGTGATGGAAATTGCAGGAGACGCCGATTGGGAGCCCGAGATGGCAGGCTGGTCAGAATAAACAAGGAGAGCCTCAAGCGGAAATGTTCGACGACGTAAATAAACATTCACCATCATTCAAAGGCCACCCGAGAGACCTTACGCATCGACTAACTTGGCACTCGTCAGTGCAAGCGACGCCAGACGAGGGAACACGATGAAAACGAGAGGTACAGCCATGTAAAATGAGTCGAGGAGCTCGGGAGGGACATGTCGGTTACGAACACCATGGTTGGCTACTGGGAATATAAAGGTAAGCCTGGTTGCCAAATTGTGGATACCGGTATACTTACTATCATCTTCAAGGTCGTCAGTAATTTTGGTTTCCTTTGAAATGGACTGTGATATTGCTAGATGATCGCGATGATAAAGCATCGGGGTCCATTGCTCCCAATGAACATGTATTACGAGCATCCCGTCACGAATCTCTCGAGGTCTCTACCCTGTCCTCGAATCCCATGTTACCCTTCTCAATGCCATCTTCAACCACTACGTCGAGAACACCATTATGACAGTTGCGACAACTCCATTCTCCGACAAGGCATATACGTTCATCAAGATAAGCGTGTTCTGTCACCGGCAACACATAGGGAAGGGTGCTGGGAAAGTATTGTTAACGTGATTTCTTTTATGAGTGGTCCGGGTTCGAGGAGGCTGGGCAATCGGGGAGGTTGAGAAGGAAGTCTGGAAGGTGGCAAGCGTTGCTTTATACGACGCTGAGCAAACACCCTGAAACAAATTTAGGGTCGACACTCTATACCTCCAGCTTTCTATTTGACAGTGAACTTTGAGAGGGCTATTCAGCTATTCTTGTACCCCGGTCAAATGATGATCTGCTCAAACAGCTTTTAGGACTCGGTTATGAGAAGGGAAACAGGTCGAATGCTACATGTCGCCGATACTCTCATTGTCTTTCCTAATGGCTTACTGCGGACACACGGTCCAATGCGCGCCTTTGAGTTGACGTGTATGTGAAGGATTCACTATGATTGCCTTTGAATCTCTAGGTAGACCAGTGACGAGTTCAAAGCACTTGTTACCGCCTGGTCAGGAAAATTCTCGTATGCGTTTAGCATTCCAACATAGGAGGTCGGGTCCATCACTTGCGATTGAGGAGACACTCCCTGGGGCTGAATCTAGAACATGAATGGGAGGGATCTATTTCATCAGTAGTACTAGCACCGTTGTAAAACAGATATGAACTTTCTTTATTCTCCAGAACCTTCGGGGAAAAGCTACTTCATTGATTAAGCATGAGCCGGCTTGATTATTCTATGTCGAGCCACAGAACTAAGAACGGAGCCCGGAGAATCCATGAGTGAGTCGAAGTGTTTTCCGTCTGCCCTGGCCTTATTATGCGGGCCGGTTGTCCTCTCTTCATAAACCACACCCATGATGACCGCCTAGGAGGATTTATTGTCCCGCATCTTATCATGGAATGATCTCTTCTAGATGGAGACGCCTCCCAGCTCGTCAAGAAACTCTCTTTAGACGAGAAAATTTATCTTTTGGGCGCACCAAATTGGTGGAGTACTCAATCTATGGAATGTCTCCAGATTCCTTCAGTCCGTATGAGCGATGGCACGAACGGAGTCAGAGGGTCTTCACACTTTGCTTCAGTACTGGCCCAGTGCTTGCCTGTGTGTAAGATTCGTCGAAATGTTTCAACTCGTTCGTGTAATCCTAGTTCATAGCCTCGTAGTGCGCAACATCCCTAGGTTCAAAATTCGATCCCGAACTCATCAACTTATCCAAGAAACTGACGCACTCCTCGTGGAAGACGCCAGGGTCAAGTCTTCTGTCATTCTTCCTGTCTTCACATGCTACATTTAACGGATACTGCTCGGTGAAAGGGCATTTGAAAGCTTGAAAGAAGTGTTACTCCCTGCTCTCGATCCACTTTGATTCATGGGGATCGCTATCAATCTGGCCATATCCTTATTCCCTCATCGAAGCTACAAAAAGTCATGTTTGGTATACCAGACAATGACATTCGTAGGGAAGTTCCATCGCGCATTCTCGTCGACCCTGCCGCGTCTGCTTCTGAGATGCGGATATCTCGACTGACAGTACGTGTTCCTCATCATCTTCTCCCCTCCCTTTTTGGTTATTTTTTGCTGACCCTACCGTACCAGGCAACCACCTCCTCTCCCAACTCGTTACAAAAGCTCCCTCCATCGAACACCTCGCCATCGACATCTGCAGCATCCTCTGCCCGTACCCTGACCCTCTTGTCCCAAACGGCCAACCCGTCATTCACATCGCTATATATCCCCGAATTGTAGACCCTCCCCGTCGATCTGGCTACCCTGGACGTCCAGGTTTAACTGTCGGGTGATCGTGTCTTCGATGGCTGCGAGGAAGAAGAAACCTTCGATTCCAATACCGTCGTTGCCTAGTTCGAGTTCGGGGGCGGGAGGGGGAGCGCGGGGTGCTGTGTTGCTGTCGCCGTATGTTCCGTTTTCTATGGTGATGGTTAATATGGCGGAGGATGAGAATAGACTTTTCGTACTGTACTCAACCCTGCGGCTCATTGTTACATGAATTCTTCCAGCAACAGGCGTGCACACTACATTATTTACTGACATGTAGACGCAATGTAAACATTGATTTTAGATGCTCCTATTATCACTGATCAGCATAAAACATGTTCTTACTGAGGATTTCTCGCTGTTTACTTTGAAATCACGGTCGTTTTTATGAGATGACCCAACCCATGCCTGCTCACGACGAACCAACAACTGTCAAAGCCCGAGTGCTGAAGGTGAAGCTATTTTTCGTGGGAACCGACTTCGTTTCGTGGGAGATTGGAGACGGGCTTCGACAGTTGACGGTTGGACTGCGAAGAGGAGCCGTACGAAGGCGAAGCTCCCTCGGTTCAGAGTAATGTCAGATTGACGAAGCCGGAGGGACGATCGGCGATGATCACGGGAGCATTGCCCAAATCAAGAATATTATATTTGTCCAGGCCGGGCCGTTATACGAACCTCGGACCTCCGAGTTCGCGAAGACTCGAAGCTCCGGGCTCTCGAACAAGTTCTTACACTTATGAGATACTACCAAAAGGTAGTATCAAATAGCCCACCGCGAGGGTCGAACTCGCAGCCTTCAGATTGTGCAATATATCATCTGGTGACCACCGGATAAGAGTCTGACGCTCTATCCGATTGAGCTAGGCGGGCACATAAATTTACAAAAATCTCGCTCTTAGTCCCCCGAGACGGTCGAACACATACAGCATATGATGATGCTGTCTGATTCAATCATGAGACTGTCAGCAAGCAGCACGTGGGAAGCATGCAATGCAGCGGTAGTGAGATGAAAGCTAGCCACCTGTTGAATGCCCAAACCTCCCGTTCAAGAGTGAACCGGGAACGGCTATAGAGATCGGAGTAGTAGACACACCCTCGCGCTTTGCAGAGCTATTCAATTACTTTCATACCCGCATGAAAATTCTGAGTCAATCCGTAATTAGTAGGATGGAGTTGTCTCAAGAATCGGAATGTAAACTTCTGAAGAACTCGCGACCTGCTCAGCCGGTCGGACCGTTGGAGAGTAAGACCGAGGTGGCTTCAAGTCATCTGGAATGACTCGGGGCTTGGAGTTTCATGAATGTGAATCTTCCCCAACTTCCTTTCAAATCAGGAAATTAAGCGCCGACGGCACAAGTCGTTCTCAGTCAAACCCACTCGTGCCAATTCCAGGATAGATACAAGATTATAACGTACAATTAAGAATAACATTCACGCCGTAACATGTCCATAAGTTTATTACCTATCTGAGTTAAAACCGGATACCATATCAAACAAAGCTAAGGCGGTATGGCCCACGGTAATTTGTAGAAACCGAGTACCTTGCATCAGATGTAGGTGAAGCAGAGGAACTCATTTTCAATATCCATCACATCTTCAATTGAAACCAAAGAAGTCAACCCATCCGACCTCATCATGAAATCAAGCGTAACATCCTGGAATGGGGGGTTTGGGCCTGAACGACCGGAGACGTCATACAAGTTAGACGAGGCGAGTTGCTGCCAATCCCACCAGATCTTATCGAGATGAGCATGATGAAGATAGAATGTCGGCTCTAGAAGAAAACCAAGCGGTAAGCAGGAAGCTCAGTGGAACGAGACGATTCTTCGGACCTCCGTTCGAGGAATATAAATCGTGCATCTCTCCGCCGACCGCAAGATGGCCTCCATCGTGGACCTTTACCTGAGGGGTAATCACACCCTCCAAATCCACCCTGAACGCCTCAAAGTTCGGTGAATTCAACACTTGAGCAACTGCACCCGCCGAAACCATTGGGAAATAGGTGGGAATCCAGTCACGGGTGATACAGCGGTCTTGATTAAGAACGGGTCCGGGTCCGAGTGCAAGCATATAATCTTTGAAAGGCCCATCCTGGATGCACCCACCACCTGTGTTTGCGCCCACAACCCAGCCATTGAAGTTTGAGTTGTTATTGAATGGTCCGTTATAGTTGGGAATGTGGACCCCGTTGCCACCGAATCCATGTACCGGATCCCATATTGGGGAGGCGGCCCATCTAACGAAACGAATAAGTTGAATTTCGCGATATAGAATACAAATGGGGTGTACGATGTCATTCCGTTGTCAACATCAAGAGACCAGTTCCAATATCTGAAAAATCGTTCGCTAGTAAGCCGAATGCATCGCGGGAAGAATTGACACCCACGGTTGAGCACCAGTATAGCCACATTCCTCCCGCAGAGCCTTCTCGTAGAGGGACAGCAAAAGTCGATGCCAGGGAAGGAAGTGGCCCTACAGGACTCTCTTAGCCTCGTTGATGCGGATTAGCAAACAAGCACCACTCACAACCATGTGAACCTCATCACCCAACGTGATGTGGCTAGCCACGAAGTCATCGTAACGAGTCCTTGCCTGAGGTTTGCTGGTAACCCCGCTCGATGGCTTCTTCATAAGACATTTCACAGCATTGAGATATTCATCTTTCTGAGCAGTACTGAGTGTTCTCCTGTACAGTGATCTATCAGAGGAGAGACACGCTGGAGGTCGAGCCCCTACTCACCATTCCCGACGTTCAAGTAGTGGCTTGGTGCACTTGGGAGGTGGAGTCCTCGGCAGCACGGTGGCTGTAGTGATAGAGGTATAGACTGCAAGGACGAGCAAGCCAAAGAACCTCATGGCGGTTGAAAGGAGCGTATTGGATCGGTGCGTCCGCACAACGCTTTTATATTATCGTCCTCAATCCTAGCTTGCTTTGAGCTACCCGGCGTTAAGCCAGGGCCGTGCACGGAGAAAAACTCACTCTTGCCAAGGAGTGGGTACGGAGAATGGCATGCGTAGGGCTACCCCGTCTAGTAGATCCACCTAGAGCTACTTTGTGAGGAAATTATTCTGGGAACCGTTGCATTACGCGGCGGGAGCGGGGCATCAAGCACAGCGAATGTGACGTTCCTGGCAGCTTTCGCCTCGAGCCCCTACCCAGTGTGGGATAGTCTACTGTCTGCCCGTTCCTCGATTGGCCGCAGTAGCAAACTGGGTGAGCAGATGCCCGACAGCGAATGGGATGCACCATGTGCTTATCTCTCTCTCAGGGAAATCAGGAGTACAACCGGCCGACCAGCAAGGGGTAATGGGCGCTTTGACAGGTATGAACGCCAAGCTCACGATGGGCTCTGGCCATATCAGCGTAGAATGGTTGCCAGCGATCACCTTGCTTGAGCTCCGTGGATCTTTGACGCGGTAAATTTACTGTCTTTGCGATCGATAATGTGAGCTATAGTTGAGCCCGTCTAGAGTCCAGATCAATTTTGATACATATCATAAAGATTGTCTCCCCATAGCTTCTGAGCCCTCAGCTGAACAGCCTCACTCTCCGTCCTGGCCGTGTTAGATCATTACCAGTCGGCAATAACAATAGCAGCAATTCTCGGCGCAAAAAGGCCTTCCAGGTTAGTTCTGATCTACAGCAGCGTGGTAGAAAAAACAACTCGACGTTGGGCTGACTCCGGTTTATCCAAAGCGATGGGTGGCGACTGCCACTGATCTCACTACCCGCCGCTCGAAGTTATGTCAAACCTCACCACCGATAGAGCTGGTTCGATACCTCATTTGTGAACATCGCCATTCAATGGATGTATCTCTTGAATCCTACAGTCGAAAGTTGCACTGAATGTAGCTAGAGTTTTTCTAGACTCTTACCAATATTTGAGTTCAGGCTTCCCGTACTTTCGAGCATTCTCACAGCCCGCAACTCAGGACCAAAGGGTTCTCACACTGGATACTGCCTCCGTCTCCGACACTGTCCACTGAGCTCCTTTTGCCGTTATGAGGTCTCCCTCCCTCCATCTGATTTCAACCCGAAGAATGATCCCGCCACCGATAGCAATGGTAGCGTAATATCAGTACGACTGTGGCGATCGGTAAAGCTACCAATACCGACGTCGTACTGACCATCAACGAGCAAACCTTTTCCGGAGTCTTTGACGGCTACCCTCAGGACTAATAAGGATAACCAGTTCTCGGCGAGAGACATTTTTTCGGCAGCATTCGACTTACCGTGGACTCCGATACGGATGATGATGCTCCCTCTAGTAGGCTATTGAAGATCCCTGTCCCGAGTACTGCATTTCATCATCAATTACTCTGGCGTATGTATCATGTAACTCGTAAATGGTACTCTACTCGATTCGAAAGACATGGGGCGGGAAAATGTTTAAATCTCGGGTATGCCACAAAACGTGCGCGGGTCCCTGGAGTAGTGTTTATACGTGAGCGAGTTCGGAGGGGATATATAGGCGAACCCACAAGCGTGGGTACTTCACCTCCACTAACAAATCATGGTACTGTAATCGTTTTATCTACCCTTCCATCGGGGGCATGCTAAATTCACGTACCGTGTCGTGTACAGTCACGTACAATTCACGTACCGTCACGTACCGATTCACGTTCATGGTGGGCACAGCCACAGTCTTCTCATATCATGCTGTGGAACTTGACTGTGCTCAACAAAACCTCTTGGGTTAACTCGGACGCTCCCCTTTGGCATGAAAAGATAGGAGCTTTCCGTGTAGCCCGGGTTCTGATCAATCTTTGGTTATTTGCGATCGTGGTAAGCTGGTAGGGATGTCTGTGTCCACTTTTCCCTCGAGGCCGCGCTCATCTACTCGACGTACCAAGTACTCGAGTAGTGTTCTGAAATTTCAAAAGGTAGTATTAGTCAAAGGAGAGATATAGCTACCTGAATTCTACTCACTGTAAATAGTTATCTGTTCTCCACGGTTTCTAAATCTCTGTGTTCAATAAAGAGTACTTTGGGGTGGCATTCATTCCCACTGATTGTTGAGCGGAAACTCGCCGCTAAACAGTCTCGTCCCTCCACCTCAAACTTTCGGACTCGCTATCGAGCTCTCCACCATAGTACATACTGATTTTCGGCTCGGCCAAAGGAAGCCCTGCTCACTCGGTGACAACATTCTATAGGATGCTTATCATTGCCCTTGTGGTATAGCAGTAAAAGACTGAGAATCCCATGTCCACTCAGTCCCTTCCCCTGGGCAACCTTACCTTTGTTGATCCTGGTGTGGGAACCCTCCTCGAGATCTGTAAATAGTAGCAATCAGATTTGACGGTATTTATGAGCTAACATTGACTTCACGTCGCATGAGTGACGATGGGCTGGCCCCATCAGCCAACCACCAAGACCATATTTGTGGGAGTTATGACCTGTCGCTGCTACTTAATCCCTACACTAAAAGTCCACCTAAGATTCATTGGGAGTCACGTACTTCACGTTCTGACTCACGTACCTAATAGCTAAATTCACGTACCTCGCGTTCAGATTCACGTACCTCACGTGCATATTCACGTACCTCACGTGCATATTCACGTACCTCACGTGCATATTCATGTACCTCACGTTCATTTTCACGTTCATCGCGTACACTTTCACGTACTTCACGTTCGCTCACGTTCGTAGCCTCAGATGCACATATTGATAACTTTGACCTCTACGAGTACCAAGTGACTGCAAAAGCTACTCATTCCTTGACCGACGACTCTTCTGTGCAATTGGGCCTGATGAGATTCTCTGAGGCGCGCTACGGTAACCACGGCTGAGAGTTTCAGCATTACTGTCAAATGTCGATGAAATCTCCTCAAAACATGCATTATAAGTCTGTGTACCTTGCGTTCGG